TCATTGCCATCCCAGTGCATCCCCAGTGCATCCCCATTGCACCCCTATTGCAACCCCATTGCACCCCTATTGCATCCCCAGAGCATCCGCATTGCATCCCCATAGCATCTCCATTGCACCCCCATTGCACCCCCATTGCATCCCCATTGCACCCCCATTGCACCCCTATTGCACCCCCATTGCATCCCCATTGCACCCCCATTGCATCCCCATTGCATTTCCATTGCATCTCCATTGCACCCCTATTGCATCCCCATTGCATCTCCAGTACATCCCCATTGCACCCCTATTGAATCCCCAGCGCACCACTATTGCATCCCCAGTGCATCCCCATTGCCCCCCATTGCATCTCCATTGCACCCCAATTGCATCCCCAGTGCATCCCCATTGCATCCGCATTGCACCCCCATTGCACCCCCATTGCATCCCCGTGGCATCCCTATTGCATCTCCATTGCACCCCTATTGCACCCCCATTGCATCTCCATTGCACCCCTATTGCACCCCCTGTGCATCCCCATTGCACCCCCAGTGCACACCCATTGCACCCCTATTGCACCCCCATTGCATCTCCATTGCATCTCCATTGCATCTCCATTGTACCCCTATTGCATCCCCATTGCACCCCTATTGCATCCCCATTGCATCTCCATTGCACCCCCAGTGCATCCCCATTGCACCCCCATTGCACCCCTATTGAATCCCCAGCGCACCACTATTGCATCCCCATTGCCCCCCCATTGCATCTCCATTGCACCCCCATTGCACCCCCAGTGCATCCCCATTGCACCCCATTGCATCTCCATTGCACCCCAATTGCACCCCCAGTGCATCCCCATTGCATCCGCATTGCACCCCCATTGCACCCCCATTGCATCCCCGTGGCATCCCTATTGCATCTCCATTGCACCCCTATTGCACCCCCATTGCATCTCCATTGCACCCCCAGTGCATCCCCATTGCACCCCCATTGCATCCCCATTGCATCTCCATTGTATCCCCATTGCACCCCCATTGCCTCTCCATTGCACCCCCATTGCACCCCCATTGCCTCTCCATTGCACCCCCATTGCACCTCCAGTGCATCTCCATTGCACCCCCTTTGCACCCCCATTGCACCCCCATTGCACCCCCATTGCACCTCCAGTGCACCCCCAGTGCACCCCCATTGCTCCTCCAGTGCACCCCCAGTGCATCCCATCACATCCCCAGTGCACGCCCAGCGCACCCCCAGTGTTCCCAGTGCATCCCCAGTGAGCCCCCAGAGCACTCCCACTGCACCCCCGTTTCATCCCCATTACACCCCAATAGACCCCATTACACCCCCATTACACCCCCACTAAACCCCATTACACCCACACTACACTCCTATTGTACCCCCATTATACCCTCATTGCACCCCATGACACCTCCATTGCACCCCATTACACCCCATTACATCCCCATTACACCCCATTACACCCCATTACCTACATTACACCCCCTTACACCCCCTTGCACCCCATTACACCCCATTAACACCCGTTACGCCCCTATTACATCCCATTACCACCCCTGCACCACCATTACACAACATTAACACACCATTACACCCCATTAACACCCCATTGCACCCCATTAACACCCCGTTACACCCCCATTACACCCCAGTACCGCCTTTAAACCCCATTACACCCCCTTATTCCTCATTACACTCTATTACACCCATTAACACCCCATTACACCGCCATTACACTCCAGTACCACCCCCACTACACCACCATTACACCCCATTAATGCCCCATTAACACCCCATTACACCCCATTAACACCCCATTACACCCCATTGCACCCCATTAACACCCCATTACACCCCAGTACCCCCATTACACCCCATTACACCCCCAGTACACCCCAGTAACCCCCATTAACACCATTACACCCCATTACACCACCATTACACCCCATAAACACCCCATTATCCCCCATTACACCCCATTACCACCCCATTGCATCCTATTACCACACATTATCCCCCATTACAACCCCATGACACCCCATTACACTCCATTAACTCCCCATTACACCCCTTATCACACCATTAACACCCCCTTACAACCCCGTTACACCCATTACACCCCCATTATCCCCATTAACACCCATTACACCCATTACACCCCCATTATCCCCCATTAACATCCATTACACCCTATTTACCACCCCATGTATCCCCCATTAACACCCCATTACACCTCCATTATCCCCCATTACACCCCCATTATCCCCCATTAACACCCCATTACACCCCCATTATCCCCCATTAACACCCATTACACCCTATTAACACCCCATTTCACCCCATTATCCCCCATTACACCCCATTACCCCCCATTACACCCCATTAACACCCCATTACACCCCCATTATCCCCCATTACACCCCATTAACACCCCATTACACCCCATTATCCCCCATTACACCCCATTAACACCCCATTACACCCCATTATCGCCCATTACACCCAATTAACACCCCATTACACCCCATTACACCCCATTACACCCCATTAACACCCCATTACACCCCATTATCCCCCATTACACCCCATTACACCCCATTAACACCCCATTACACCCCATTAGCACCCCATTACACCCCATTATCGCCCATTACCCCCCATTACACCCCATTACACCCCATTAACACCCCATTAACACCCCATTACACCCCATTACACCCCATTAACACCCCATTACACCCCATTACACCCTATTAACACCCCATTACACCCCATTATCGCCCATTACACCCCATTAACACCCCATTACACCCCATTATCGCCCATTACACCCAATTAACACCCCATTACACCCCATTACACCCCATTACACCCCATTAACACCCCATTACACCCCATTATCCCCCATTACACCCCATTACACCCCATTAACACCCCATTACACCCCATTAGCACCCCATTACACCCCATTATCGCCCATTACCCCCCATTACACCCCATTACACCCCATTAACACCCCATTAACACCCCATTACACCCCATTACACCCCATTAACACCCCATTACCCCCCATTACACCCCATTACACCCCATTACCCCCCATTACACCCCATTACACCCCATTATCGCCCATTACTCCCCATTACACCCCATTACACCCCATTAACACCCCATTACACCCCATTATCCCCCATTACACCCCATTACACCCCATTAACACCCCATTACACCCCATTATCCCCCATTACACCCCATTACACCCCATTAACACCCCATTAACACCCCATTACACCCCATTACACCCCATTACCCCCCATTACACCCCATTACACCCCATTAACACCCCATTACACCCCATTATCGCCCATTACACCCCATTAACACCCCATTACACCCCATTACACCCCCATTATCCCCCATTGACACCCCATTACACCCCATTACACCCCCATTATCCCCCATTACACCCCATTACACTCCATTACACCCCCATTATCCCCCATTACATCCCATTAACAACCCATTACACCCCCATTATCCCCCATTACACCCCATTATCCCCCATTACACCCCATTAGCACCCCATTAACATCCCATTACACCCCATTAACACCCCATTACACCCCATTACACCCCATTAACACCCCATTACACCCCATTAGCACCCCATTAACATCCCATTACACCCCATTAGCACCCCATTACACCCCATTAACACCCCATTAGCACCCCATTACACCCCATTAGCACCCCATTAACACCCCATTAACACCCCATTACACCCCATTATCGCCCATTACCCCCCATTAACCCCCCCATGGCTCCCCCTGTCCCCAGGACGACCCCGGCTCCGCGCTCTCCCAGGACCTGCCCGGCTCCGCGCTCACGTTCGAGGCCTCGGGGCTGGAGCCCGGCAGCAGCTTCGAGCTCCGCGTGCAGGCGAGGACACGGGGGGAGCTGGGCCCAGCGGGGACCCTGCGCCTGCGAACCCGTGAGTGGGGCACAAGGGGGACAGGGGCGACAATGGGGAGACAATGGGGAGACAATGGGGAGACAATGGGGACAATGGGGCAATGGGGACAATGGGGCAATGGGGACAATGGGGACAATGGGGACAATGGGGCAATGGGGACAATGGGGACAATGGGGTGTGAGGAACAATGGGGACAATGGGGACAATGGGGACAATGGGGACAATGGGGCAATGGGGACAATGGGGACAATGGGGTGTGAGGAACAATGGGGACAATGGGGACAATGGGGACAATGGGGCAATGGGGACAAAGGGGTGTGAGGAACAATGGGGACAATGGGGACAATGGGGACAATGGGGCAATGGGGACAAAGGGGTGTGAGGAACAATGGGGACAATGGGGACAATGGGGACAATGGGGGACAATGGGGAGACAATGGGGACAGTGGGGGACAACGGGGGCAATGGGGTGTGAGGAACAATGGGGGACAATGGGAACAATGGAGGCAATGGGGACAATGGGGGACGATGGGGAGACAACGGGGACAATGGGGATAATGGAGGACAATGGGGACAATGGGGGAAAATGGGGACAATGGAGACAATGGGGAGACAAGGGGGACAATGGGGACAATGGGGTGTGAGGAATAATGGGGACACAATGGGGAGCAATGGGGAGACAATGGGGTGTGGGGGACAATGAGGTGTGAGGAACAATGGGGACAATGGGGGGCAATGGAGAGACAATAGGGACAATGGGGTGTGAGGAACAATGGGGACACAATGGGGGGCAATGGGGACAATGGGATGTGGGGAACAATGGGGACAATGGGGGACAATGGGGACAATGGGGGGGCAATGGGATGTGGGGACAATGGGGACAATGGGGAGAATGGGGACACTGGGGGACAATGGGGGCAATGGGGGCAGTTGGGACAATGGGGACAATGGGGGCAGTGGGGTCAATGGGGATAGTGGGGACAATGGGGGGACAGTGGGGAGAATGGGGACAATGGGGACAGTGGGGCACAATGTGGGGCAATGGGGGGCAATGGGGACAATGGGGACAATGGGGGACAGTGGGGACAATGGGGGACAATGTGGGACAATGGGGAGACAATGGGGACAATGGGATGTGGGGGACAATGGGGGGACAATGGGGACACTGGGGGACAATGGGGCAATGGGGACAAAGGGGAGAATGGGGGACAATGGGGAGAATGGGGACACTTGGGGACAATGGGGACAGTGGGGTCAATGGGGATGGTGGGGACAATGATGGGACAATGGGGTGTGGGGAACAATGGGGACAATGGGGACAACGGGGTGTGGTGGACAATGGGGACAATGGGGGACAATGGGGACACAATAGGGACAATTGGGACAATGGGGACACAATAGGGACAATTGGGACAATGGTGACAATGGGGGGACAATGGGGGACAATGGGAACACAATGGGGACAATGGGGTGTGAGGAACAATGGGGGACAATGGGAACAATGGAGACAATGGGGACAATGGGGGACAAAGGGGACAATGGGGTGTGAGGAACAATGTGGACAATGGGGACAATGGGGATAGTGGAGGACAATGGGGACACAATAGGGACAATTGGGACAATGGGGACACAATGGGGGACAATGGGGACAATGGGAACACAGTGGGGACAATGGAGACAATGGGGACAATGGGATGTGGGGAACAATGGGAGACAATGATATGTGGGGAACAATGGGGGACAATGGGATTTGGGGAACAATGGGGACAATGGGCGGACAATGGGATGTGGGGACAATGGGATGTGGGGACAGTGGGACATGGAGCAATGGGATGTGGGGATGTGGAGACATAGGGGACAATGGGGACAATGGGGGACAATGGGATGTGGTGACAATGGGATCAGGGTATATGGGGACATGGGGTTGTGGGGATATGGGGACATGAGGATATGGAGATATGGGGGACATGGGGATATGGGGGCATGGGGATAGAGGGATATGGGGATATAGGGACATGGGGATATGGGGACATGGGGGAACTGAGATATAGGGTACAGGGATATAGGGACATGGAGAGATGGGGATAGAGGGATATAGGGATGTGGGGATATGGGACATGGGGATATTGAGATATGAGGATACAGGGATACAGGGATATGGGGACATGGGGATATGGGGACATGGGGACGGGGGGACATGGGGATATGGGGATGTTAAAACATGGGGATATGGGGATGTGGGAACATGGGGACAGGCTGACATGGGGATATTTGGGACACGGGGGACATTGGGACACTGGGATATGGGGACACGGGGACATTGGGGGATCACTGTGGGGGGAGCAGGCGATGACAACAGTCATGGGGACATGGGGGGTATGGGGTGGCAGCAGCATGGGGATGGGGATGGGGATGGGGATGGGGATGGGGACAGGGATGGGACAGGGATGGGACAGGGATGGGGACAGGGATGAGAACAGGGATAGGGACAGGGATGGTGACAGGGATGGTGACAGGGATGGGGACAGGGATAGGGACAGGGATGGGGACAGGGACGAGAACAGGGATAGGGACAGGGATGGTGACAGGGTTAGGGACAGGGGTGGTGACAGGGATGGTGACAGGGATAGGGACAGGGGTGGTGACAGGGATGGTGACAGGGATGGGGACAGGGATAGGGACAGGGGTGGTGACAGGGATGGGGACAGGGATGGGGACAGGGATAGGGACAGGGATGGGGACAGGGGTGGGGACAGGGATGGGGACAGGGGTGGGGACAGGGATAGGGACAGGGATGGGGACAGGGGTGGGGACAGGGATGGGGACAGGGGTGGGGACAGGGATAGGGACAGGGGTGGTGACAGGGATGGGGACAGGGATGGGGACAGGGATAGGGACAGGGATGGGGACAGGGGTGGGGACAGGGATGGTGACAGGGATGGGGACAGGGATAGGGACAGGGATAGGGACAGGGGTGGTGACAGGGATGGGGACAGGGATGGGGACAGGGGTGGGGACAGGGATGGGGACAGGGATGGGGACAGGGATAGGAATGGGGACAGGGATGGGAGAGGGATGGGATAGGAGGTGCAGCCGCCTCTGTCTGTCCCCACATGTCCATGTGTCCCAATGGCTCGGCGGGTCCCTGCTGTCTGTCCCATGGGTCCCTGCGTCCCCATGGGCTTGTGTGTCCCCATGGCTGCATGTGACCCCGCTGGCCCCTCTGTCCCCATGGGTCTGTGTGTCCCCACGGGCTCCTCTGTCCCTATGGGTGCATACGTCCTCATGTCTCCACGTGTCCCCACATCTCCTGCTGCTTCCCCCTCCATCCCTCTCTTGCTGCATCCAGATGTCTCCCATCTGTCCCCGTTTGTCTCCATTCTGCCCCCATGGGTCTGCCCCCATGCATCCGTCTGTCCCCGTACCCCTCCGTGCCCTCCCATCCCCATGTCCCCTCTTTGCTCTCACAGAGCTTGCCCAGACCCTGCCCCGTCACGGAGGGTCCCCGGTGCCACCGATTGCGTCCCCGCCAACCCCGAGGTCCCCGGCGCCAGCAGCATCCCCGGGCTCACCGGCGTCACCGGATGCACCCTTGGCCTCACCGGGGTCTTTGGGGTCCCTGCCAGCATCGCCAAGGCTTCCAGCGGCCCCAGTGCCTCGAGGGTCCCCAGCATCTGCGAGGTCACCGGGGTCCCCATCGGCCCCAGTGTCCCCGGAGTCCCCAGCGCTACCACAGGCCCCCGTGTCACCTCCAGCCCCGTGGTCCCCAGGGCTCCCTGGGGGCCCATCCCTGCATGACCTGGGGGCCAAGCTTGCCTCCTACAACGGCTCCTTGCTGCAGCGCCTGGAGAGCCACCTCCGGGCCACCAACTTCCCCCTGCGGGGCAACCAGACGGTGCCCGCGGTGGCCAGGGCCATCCTCTCGTACCTCCTGCGCCGCAGCCCGGCCGCGCTCCGGCACCAGCTCCTGCAGCAGCTGCCCCATCCCAAGCCCCACTTGATGCCGGGGGCTGCCGGGGAGGCTCTGGTGGACCTGGAGGGGCTGCGGGGCCACGCGGAGACCGTGGTGATCCGGTACCGGCTCCTGGAAGAGCCCGAGGGGGCCGAGGGGGAGCTGCGGGTGCCGGGGGACGCGGCGCTGGCGCGGGTGCCGGGGCTGGTGCCGGGGGCCAGGTACCGGGTGGAGGTGCACGGGCTGGTGCGGGGCCACGTCTCCAAGTCCTACACGTTCCTGGTGACAGCAGGTGGGTGATGGGAACGGAGACAGGCACAGGGGGGAACGGGGGCACCCCATAACCACCCGCTGCAACCCTGCTGCAGGGGTGGGAGGCACCGAGGAGCCGCCGCTGGGCTGGGAGCAGATGTACGAGATGGAGCCGACGGAGCCCCAAGGAGCCCCGGCCAAAGAAGGTACCAAGTGTCCATGGGGACAATGAGGGAGACTCGGGTGTCCAGGCTGAGCTGCTCTTGGGAGACAAGTTGGTGGTGGTGGGACGGGTGGATGGAGGGAGGGAAGGATGGATGGATGGATGGGTGCATGAATGGATGGATGCATGGATGCATGCATGGGTGCATGCATGGATGGATGGATGCATGCATGGATGAGGGATGGATGGATGGAAGATGAATGGATGGATGAATGGATGGATGGATGGATGGATGCATTCACGGATGGATGCATGGATGCATGGATTGATGATGGATGCATGGATGGGTGATGGATGGATGGAAGATGAATGGATGGATGGATGAATGGATTGATGCATGGATGCATGGATGCATGCATGGACGGATGGATGGATGCATGGATGGGTGATGGGTGGATGGATGGGTGATGGATGGATGGATAAAAGATGAATGGATGGATGGATGAATGGATTGATGATGGATGGATGGATGATGGATATATATGAAAGACACAAGATGGACACGGAGCTGTTGGTGTGTGTCCAGAGGAGGCCATGGAGACACTTTGAGGGCTGGAGCAGCTCTCCTCTGGAGCCAGGATGAGAGAGCTGGGCTGGGTCAGCCTGGAGAAGAGAAAGCTCCTTAAGAGGAGACCTTAGAACATCTCCAGTGCCTAAAGGGGCTGCAGGAAACCTGGAGAGCTGCTTCTAAAGCAGCGTATAGGGGTGGGACAAGGAGTAACAGCTTCCAACTGGAAGAGGGAAGAGTTTGATGGGAGATTGGAGAGTTCTTCACTGTGAGAGTGGTGAGACATTGGAATGGGTTGTATAAGCAGGGTTTTGAGGAACCTGCTCTAGTGGAAGGTGTCCCTGTCCACGGTGGAAGTTGGAACTGGATAACCTTTAAGAGAACCCTTCCAACCCAAACCATTCCATGATTCTATGGGAAGTTGAATATGTGGAGGAGGTGGTGAATGGGTGGAAGGATAGAGGAATGGACGGGTGGTTGGGTGATGGCTGGATGGATTCAAAGAGGGATGGATGGTTGGGTAGGTGGATGGCAAGTTGGAAACTGGGTGGGTTGATTCAAAGGCTGATGGAAGGAGAACTGACTGGAAAACCAGGTCATTCAATGGACAGAAACCTGGAATTCTGTATTGGTTACATGAAAGGACAGATAATTAAGGAACAAAGGACAAACACCAGCAGGAATGGACAGTTGGATGGGTGGCACCATGACCCACTTGTATCAATGGGAGGATGGACGGGTGCTGGCATTGGAGGGTGCATGAGCAGACCTGGGGATGGACCAATGCTGAAGGATGCAGGGGTGGGTGGATGTTCACATTCTTCATCGACCATCCCATAGCAGAGCCGGCCCCACCATCGGAGGAGACACCAACCAAGCCGCGCCTGGGCGAGCTCAGGGTCTCCAACGTCACCCCCAGCTCCGTGCAGCTGGAGTGGAGCGTCCCCGAGGGCACCTTTGACTCCTTCACTGTGCAGTACCGGGATGCTCAAGGCCAACCTCAGGCACTTGCAGTTGATGGTGGCTCCCGCACGGTCACAGTGTCAGGGCTGTCCCCGTCACGACGCTACAAGTTCAACCTGTACGGTGTGTGGGGACGGAAGCGGGTTGGTGTCATCTCCACCGACACCATTACAGGTGAGGACATCCCTGTCCTGTGCAGGCAGTAGGTATAGGGAAGCTCAAGAGCCTTGGAAGGTCCCTTCAGACTGAGGGATATGGGAGGAATATCTCTCCCTGTGTTTGGGGAGGTGGGAACATGTGAGGTAAGAGGAACGGTGGGATATTGACATGGAAGGCAGGAATATTGGATGAGTGATGGGTTTGGATGATTGTGCGGTGGGTAGTTGGGTGATGTATGATTGGGAGTGGCTGGCTGGCTGCATGGATGGTCATGCAGATGGTCATTAGCCACATTGTGGCCTCTCCATTGCAGCCCCAGCTCCACAGGAGAAGAAGCCACCAATCAAACCTCGCCTGGGTGAGCTCACGGCGTCCAACATCACTTCGGACTCGGTGCAGCTGGAGTGGAGCGTCCCCGAGGGCACCTTTGACTCCTTCACGCTGCAGTACCGCGATGCCCAAGGCCAGCCCCAGGTGCTGCCCGTGGACGGGGGTTCCCGCACGCTGACGCTGCCGGGGCTGTCCCCGTCCCGCCGCTACAAGTTCAACCTGTACGGGCTGTGGGGTCGCACACGCCTGGGCCCCGTCTCCACCGACACTGTCACAGGTGAGGGGGCTCTGGCACCAGCCGTGGCCCCTTGGACATGAATGTATGGATGAGTGGATGGCTGGGTGGAAGGATGGATAGATGGATGGGTGGATAGTTGGGTGGATAGTTGAATGATTGATGGTTGCATGCATGGATGGATGGATAGGGTTATGGGGGTTGTTATGTTTAGGCTTTTGTTCACACTCCCAAGTGACTGTTTTGATCGCTCAATGATTCATTGCAGGGATGGGTTAAAGAACCAGTACAGAGAAGAGTGCTGTGAAAGACACAATAGTGAATAGGTCCATGGATGGAAGGATGGATGATGGGTGGGTGGATCATGGGTGGGTGGATCATGGATGGATGGATGGATGGATGGATGGATGGATGGATGCATGCATGCATGGATGGATGGGGGGATGGATGGATGGATGGATGGAGGGAAGGATGGGAGAGGAAGTTGGGATGGTTCAGCCTGGAGAAGAGAAAACTGCGTGGAGACCTCATAGCAGCGTTTCGGTATCTGAAGGGGGCCTATAGGGATGCTGCGGAGGGACTCTTCATTAGAGACTGTAGTGACAGGACAAGGGGTAATGGGTTCAAACTGAAACAGGGGAAGGAAGGAAGGAAGGAAGGAAGGAAGGAAGGAAGGAAGGAAGGAAGGAAGGAAGGAAGGAAGGAAGGAAGGAAGGAAGGAAGGAAGGAAGGAAGGAAGGAAGGAAGGAAGGAAGGAAGGAAGGAAGGAAGGAAGGAAGGAAGGAAGGAAGGAAGGAAGGAAGGATGAAGGGATGAGTGGGTGGATGGATGGATGGACGGATGTATGGATGTGTGGATGGATGAAAGGATTGAAGGATGGATGAATGGATGGATGGACAGATGGATGGATGGATGAATGGATGAGTGGGTGGATGGAAGGATGGGTAGATGGAGGGATGAATGGATGGATGGATTTACAGATGAATGGTTACATGGATGGCTGATGGATGAATGGATGGATGGCTGCATGGATGGATGGATGAGTGGGTGGATGGATGGATGGATTGAAGGATGGATGGATGCATGCATGGATGAATGGGGGATGGATGGATGGAAGGAGAAAGGGACGGAGGGATGGATGAGTGGGTGGATGGATGGATGGATGGATGAATGGATGGATGAATGGAAGGATTCATGGATGGATGGACGGATGGATGGATGGATGGACGGATGAGTGGATAGGTGGAAGGACGGATGGATGGATGGATGGATGGATGGATGGATGGATGGACGGATGGGTGGATGGATGGGTGGATGGATGGATGGACGGACGGACGGACGGAGGGATGGATGGATGGATGGATGGATGGATGGATGGATGGATGGATGGATGCATGGATGAATGAAGGGATGAGTGGGTGGATGGAAGGATGGATAGATGGACGGGCAGACGGAAGGATGGATGGATGGATGGATGGATGGATGGATGGATGGATGGATGGATGGATGGATGGATGTGTGGGTGAATGAAAGCATCGTGGGATGGATGAATGGATGGAAGGACAGATGGATGGATGGAAAAGTGGGTGCATGGAAGAATGGGTGGATGGAGGGATGAATGGATGGATGGATTTACCGTTGAATAGTTACATGGATGGCTGATGAGTGGATCGAAGGATTGAAGGATGAATGGAAGCCCGCAAGGATGGATGGATGGATGGATGGATGGATGGATGGATGGAAAAATTTGGAAATACGAGTAGATGGTTGGATTGAATGATTCTTAGAATACGGAATGCCTGGAGAGCTTTACATCAATGAGAAGCATTGAGGATTGCATTGATGAATAGATCCATCAGTAGATGAGTGGTCAGACAGTAGACGATTGAGTACGTCAATGATCCTGTACCGGGCTCTTGATAGGACTCTGTAGATGCAGGGATGGAATGAATGATGGAAGGGACAATGAATGATGTATGGATGATGCATGCATATGTGGATGGATGGATGAATGGATGAACAGATGGATGGATGGAGGGATGTATGGAGAGAAAGATTCACATACAGATGCTAATGGCCTTCATTTTGATGTCTCCACTGCAGCCCCAGCCCCACAGGAGGAGGAATCCCAGCCAGTGCTGGGTGAGCTCAGGGTGTCCGAGGTCACCTCTGACTCGGTGCAGCTGGAGTGGAGCGTCCCCGAGGGCACCTTTGACTCCTTCACGCTGCAGTACCGCGATGCACAAGGCCAGCCCCAGGTGCTGCCCGTGGACGGGGGTTCCCGCACGCTGACGCTGCCGGGGCTGTCCCCGTCCCGCCTCTACAAGTTCAACCTGTACGGGCTGTGGGGTCGCACACGCCTGGGCCCCGTCTCCACCGACACTGTCACAGGTGAGGGGGCTCTGGCACCAGCCCCGCTGAACCGCCTCTTGTAGTGGACAGAAGCTTGGGCAGGGCCCGTGCCCGTGCCTTGGTCAGTGCAGGAAAGGGGGCGCACAAAGATTTGGGATCCATGGAAGGAAGGGGATGTGACAGGTTGGCAGGGTGGAGGGGTTGTTGAATGCATGGATGGGGGGTTGGAGGGAGGGATGAATGGATGGATGGATTTCCAGATGAATTTTTACATTGATGGCTGGTAAATGGATGGATGCATTGAAGTGTGGATGAATGGATGGATGAATGGATGGATGGATGAATGGATGGATGTATGAGTGGGTGTATACATGAATGAGTGGGGTTATTGATGGATGGGTGGATTGATGGATGGATGGATGGATGGATGGATGGATGGATGGATGGATGGATGGATGAATGGATGGATGTGTGGGTGGATGAAAGGATGGTAGGATGAATGGATGGCTGGATTTACAGATGAATGGTTCTATGGATGGCTAATGAATGGATGGATGGATTGAAGGATAGATGGATGGATGGATGAGTGGGTGGATGGAAGAACGGATGGATGGATGGATGGATGGATGGATGGATGGATGGATGGATGGATGGATGCAGAGGTGAGTGGGTGGGTGGGTGGGTGGGTGGGTGGGTGGATGGATGGATGGATGGGTGGATGAAAGGATGAATGGATGGTTGGGTGAATGGGAGGATGGATGGGTGGAGGGATGAATGGATGGATGGATTTACAGATGAATGATTATATGGATGGCTGATGAATGGATGGGTGGATTTACAGATGAATGGTTATGTGGATGGCTGATGAATGGATGGATGGAAGGATTGACGGATGAGTGGGGGGATGTATGGATGGACGGATAAATTGGTGGATGGAAGGATGGATGGATGGATGGATGGATGGATGGATGGATGGATGGAAGAATGGATGGATGCATGGATGAGCTGGTGGATGTTTAAATGGATGGATGGATGGATGGATGGATGGATGGATGGATGGATGGATGCATGGATGCATGGATGCATGGATGAGTGGTTGGATGAACGCATGGATGGATGGATGGATGATTGTTTGGATGGAAGGCTGCATGTATGGATGAATGGATGGATGCATGGACAGATGTAAGAAACAATTTAAGAGTAGAAGGATGAGTATACATAAACAATGTGTGCTGAATTCCTGGAGAGCTGGATGCTGATGGAAAGCATGGAGGGCTGAATGGATGAAAGAATACAGCAATGGGTGGTTGGAGTTATGGATGGTTGATGGACCCTGAAAGTCTTCAATGCTAGGTCTGACAGTGCCTAATCAGCAAATGAATGTGCTAAAGGTGGATGATGGTGTTCTTCATCATCATGTGTTGAGTGTTTGAGAGGTCTTTAGAGCAGCATGGCTGCCTGTGGGATGGATGGATGGATGGGTGGATGGATAAATTTGGAAATAGGAGTAGGTTAGGGTGGTGAGGCACTTGAATAGGTTGCCCAGGGAGGTTGTGAATGTGCCATCCCTGGCGGTGTTCAAGGCCAGGTTGCACGAGGCCTTGGGTGATATGATTTAGCGTAAGGTGTCCCCTGCCCATGGCAGTGGAGTTGGAAATAGATGATCTTAAGGTCCTTTCCAACCCTAACTATGCTATGATTCTATGATTCTATGAATATGGAATGCCGGGAGAGCTTTACGTCAATGAGAACCATTGAGGGTTGCATTGATGAATGGATATATCAATAGAGGAGTGGTCAAAGGGTAGATGATTGAGTACGTCGGTGATCCTGTACTGGGCTCTTTTTAGGACTCTATAGATGCAGGGATGGAATGAAAGATGGAAGGAAGGATGCATGATGTATGGATGATGCATGCATATGAAGACAGATGGATGAACAGATGGATGGATGGATGATTGGAGAGATAGATTCACATACAGATGCTCATGGCCTTCATTTTGGCCTCTCCACTGCAGCCCCAGCTCCACAGGAGGAGGAATCCCAGCCAGTGCTGGGTGAGCTCAGGGTGTCCGAGGTCACCTCTGACTCGGTGCAGCTGGAGTGGAGCGTCCCCGAGGGCACCTTTGACTCCTTCACGCTGCAGTACCGCGATGCACAAGGCCAGCCCCAGGTGCTGCCCGTGGACGGGGGTTCCCGCACGCTGACGCTGCCGGGGCTGTCCCCGTCCCGCCGCTACAAGTTCAACCTGTACGGGCTGTGGGGTCGCACACGCCTGGGCCCCGTCTCCACCGACACTGTCACAGGTGAGGGGGCTCTGGCACCAGCCCCGCTGAACCGCCTCTTGTAGTGGACAGAAGCTTGGGCAGGGCCCGTGCTCGTGCCTTGGTCAGTGGAGGAAAGGGGTTGGGAGGGGATTTGGGATCAATGGAAGGATGCGGGTGTCACAGGTTGGCAGGGTGGAGGGGTTGTTGAATGCATGGATGGGTGGATGGATTCATGAATAGATTGATGGATTCATGAATGGATGGATGGACAGATTGACAGATGACTGGATATGGGATGGATGGATGGATGGATGGATGGATGGATGGATGGATGGATGGAAGGATGCATGGTGCATGAATGCACGGATGCGTGAATGGATGGATGAGTGGATGGATGGATGGATGGATATTTGGGTGGTTGGGTGGATAGTTGAATGATTAAGCATCGGATGCATGCACGAATGGATAAAGTTATGGGGGTTGTTATATTTTGGCTTTGGTTCACACTCCCAAGCGACTGTTTTGATCGCTCGATGATTCATTGGAGGGATGGGTTAAAGAACCAGTACAGAGAAGAGTGCAGTGAAAGACAGAATAGTGAATAGGTCCGTGGATGGAAGGATGGATGATGGGTGTGTGGATCATGGATGGATGGATGGATGGGTGCACAGATGGATTGATGGATGCATGCATGCATGCATGGATGGATGTGGGATAGATGGGCGGATGGATGGATGGCCGGAGGGAGGGAGTGATGGATGGATGAGTGCGTGGATGGATGAACGGATGGATGCATGGAAGGATGGGTGAGGAAGTTTGACTGTTCAGCCTGGAGAAGAGAAGGCTGAGTGGAAAACTCATAGCAGCTTCCAGTACCTGAAGGGGGCCTATAGGGATGCTGGAGAGGGACTGTTCATTAGGGAAGGTAGTGACAGGACAAGGGGTAACGGGTTAAAAGTGAAACAGGGGAAGTTTAGGTTGGGTATAAGGAGTAAGTCCTTTCCTGTGAGGGTGGTGAGGCACTGGAATGGGTTGATCAGGGAGGTTGTGAATGCTCCATCCCTGGCAGTGTTCAAGGCCAGGTTGGACGGGGCCTTGGGTGCCATGGCTTACTGTGAGGTGGCTCAGCCTGTGGCAGGGAGGGTTGGAACTGGATGATCTCAAGGTCCTTTCCAACCCTAACGATTCTATGATTCTATGATTCTAAGAATGCATGGATGGATGGAGGGATGAGTGGATAGGTTAAAGGATGGATGGATGGATGGATGGATGGATGGATGGATGGATGGATGGATGGATGGATGGATGGATGGAAGCATGAATGGATGGATGAAGGGATGAGTGGGTGGATGGAAGGATGGATGGATGGATGGATGGATGGATGGATGGATGGATGGATGGATGGAAGCATGAATGGATGGATGAAGGGATGAGTGGGTGGATGGAAGGATGGATGGATGGATGGATGGATGGATGGATGGATGGATGGATGGATGGATGGATGGATGGAAGGATGGATGGATGGATGGATGGATGGATGGATGGATGGATGGATGGATGGAAGTATTGAAGGATGGATGACTGGATGGATAGAGAGATGGATGGATGGATGAATGGATGACTGGGTGGATGGATGAAAGGAGAAATAGATTCACATACAGATGCTCATGGCCTTCACTTTGGTCTCTCCACGGCAGCCCCAGCTCCACAGGAGGAGGAATCCCAGCCAGTGCTGGGCGAGCTCAGGGTGTCCGAGGTCACCTCTGACTCGGTGCAGCTGGAGTGGAGCGTCCCCGAGGGCACCTTTGACTCCTTCACGCTGCAGTACCGCGATGCACAAGGCCAGCCCCAGGTGCTGCCCGTGGACGGGGGTTCCCGCACGCTGACGCTGCCGGGGCTGTCCCCGTCCCGCCGCTACAAGTTCAACCTGTACGGGCTGTGGGGTCGCACACGCCTGGGCCCCGTCTCCACCGACACTGTCACAGGTGAGGGGGCTCTGGCACCAGCCCCGCTGAACCGCCTCTTGTAGTGGACAGAAGCTTGGGCAGGGCCCGTGCTCGTGCCTTGGTCAGTGGAGGAAAGGGGGTGGGAGGGGATTTGGGATCAGTGGAAGGATCGGGGCTTGATAGGTTGGCAGAGTGGAGGGGTTGTTGAATGCATGGATGGGTGGATGGAGGGAGGGATGAATGGATGGGCGGATTTACAGATGAATGGTTACATTGATGGCTGGTAAATGGATGGATGGATTGAAGGATGGATGAATGGATGGATGGATGAGTGGGTGGATACATGAATGAGTGGGGTTATTGATGGATGGGTGGATTGATGGATGGATGGATGGATGGATGGATGGATGGATGGATGGATGGATGCATGAATGGATGGATGTGTGGGTGGATGAAAGGATGGTAGGATGAATGGATGGATGGATTTACAGATGAATGGTTCTATGGATGGCTAATGAATGGATGGATGGATTGAAGTATATATGGATGGATGGATGAGTGGGTGGATGGAAGAATGGATGGATGGATGGATGGATGGATGGATGGATGGATGGATGGATGGATGGATGGATGGATGGATGGATGCAGAGGTGAGTGGGTGGGTGGGTGGATGGATGGATGGATGGGTGGATGAAAGGATGAATGGATGGTTGGGTGGATGGGAGGATGGATGGGTGGAGGAATGAATGGATGGATGGATTTACAGATGAATGTCTATATGGATGGCTGATGAATGGATGGATGGATGGAAGGATTGACGGATGAGTGGGGGGATGTATGGATGGACGGGTAAATTGGTGGATGGAAGGATGGATGGATGGAAGAACGGATGGATGCATGGATGAGCTGGTGGATGTATAAATGGATGGATGGATGGATGGATGGATGGATGGATGCATGGATGCATGGATGCATGGATGCATGGATGCATGGATGAGTGGGTGGATGAACGCATGGATGGACGGATGGATGATTGTGTGGATGGAAGGCTGCATGTATGGATGAATGGATGGATACATGGACAGATGTAAGAAACAATTTATGAGTAGAAGGATGAGTATACATAAACAATGTGTGCTGAATTCCTGGAGAGCTGGATGCTGAAGGAAAGCATGGAGGGCTGAATGGATGAAAGAATACAGCAATGGGTGGTTGGAGTTATGGATGGTTGATGGACCCTGAAAGTCTTCAATGCTAGGTCTGACAGTGCCTAATCAGCAAATGAATGTGCTAAAGGTGGATGATGGGGTTGTTCATCATCATGTGTTGAGTGTTTGAGAGGTCTTTAGAGCAGCATGGCTGCCTGTGGGATGGATGGATGGATGGGTGGATGGATAAATTTGGAAATAGGAGTAGGTTAGGGTGGTGAGGCACTTGAATAGGTTGCCCAGGGAGGTTGTGAATGTGCCATCCCTGGCGGTGTTCAAGGCCAGGTTGCACGAGGCCTTGGGTGATATGATTTAGCGTAAGGTGTCCCCTGCCCATGGCAGTGGAGTTGGAAATAGATGATCTTAAGGTCCTTTCCAACCCTAACTATGCTATGATTCTATGATTCTATGAATATGGAATGCCGGGAGAGCTTTACGTCAATGAGAACCATTGAGGGTTGCATTGATGAATGGATATATCAATAGAGGAGTGGTCAAAGGGTAGATGATTGAGTACGTCGGTGATCCTGTACTGGGCTCTTTTTAGGACTCTATAGATGCAGGGATGGAATGAAAGAGGGAAGGAAGGATGCATGATGTATGGATGATGCATGCATATGAAGACAGATGGATGAACAGATGGATGGATGGATGATTGGAGAGATAGATTCACATATAGATGCTCATGGCCTTCATTTTGGCCTCTCCACTGCAGCCCCAGCTCCACAGGAGGAGGAATCCCAGCCAGTGCTGGGTGAGCTCAGGGTGTCCGAGGTCACCTCTGACTCGGTGCAGCTGGAGTGGAGCGTCCCCGAGGGCACCTTTGACTCCTTCACGCTGCAGTACCGCGATGCACAAGGCCAGCCCCAGGTGCTGCCCGTGGACGGGGGTTCCCGCACGCTGACGCTGCCGGGGCTGTCCCCGTCCCGCCGCTACAAGTTCAACCTGTACGGGCTGTGGGGTCGCACACGCCTGGGCCCCGTCTCCACCGACACTGTCACAGGTGAGGGGGCTCTGGCACCAGCCCCGCTGAACCGCCTCTTGTAGTGGACAGAAGCTTGGGCAGGGCCCGTGCTCGTGCCTTGGTCAGTGGAGGAAAGGGGGTGGAGGGGATTTGAGGTCAGTGGAAGAATGGGGGTGTGACAGGTTGGCAGGGTGGAGGGGTTGTTGAATGCATGGATGGGGGGATGGAGGGAGGGATGAATGGATGGATGGATTTCCACATGAATGTTTAAATTGAACGCAGGTAAATGGATGGATGGATTGAAGGATGGATGAATGGATGGATGGATGAGTGGGTGGATACATGAATGAGTGGGGTTATTGATGGATGGGTGGATTGATGGATGGATGGATGGATGGATGGATGGATGGATGGATGGATGAATGGATGGATGTGTGGGTGGATGAAAGGATGGTAGGATGAATGGATGGATGGATTTACAGATGAATGGTTATATGGTTGGCTAATGAATGGATGGATAGATTGAAGGATAGATGAATGGATGGATGAGTGGGTGGATGGAAGAACGGATGGATGGATGGATGGATGGATGGATGCAGAGGTGAGTGGGTGGGTGGGTGGATGGGAGGATGGGAGGATGGATGGGTGGAGCCATGAATGGATGGATGGATTTACAGATGAATAGTTATATGGATGGCTGATGAATGTATGGATGGATGGATTGAAGGGTGGAAGGATTGACTGACGAGTGGGTGGATGGATGGATGGACGGATAAGTGTGTGGATGGAAGGATGGATGGATGGATGGATGGATGGATGCATGGATGGATGGATGGAAAGAAGGATGTAAAGATGAATGGATGGATGGATGGATGGATGGATGGATGGATGGATGGATGGATGGATTTATGAGTAGAAGGATGAGTATACATAAACAATGTGTGTTGAATTCCTGGAGAGCTGGGTGCTGATGGAAAGCATGGAGGGCTGAATGGATGAAAGGATACAGCAATGGATGGTTGGAGTTATGGATGGTTGATGGACCCTGAACATCTTCAAGGTAGGTGTGACAGTGCTGAATCAGTAAATGAATGTACTGAAGGTGGATGATGGGGTTGTTCATCATCATGTGTTGAGTGCTTGACAGGTCTTTAGAGCAGCATGGCTGCCTGTGGGATGGATGGATGGATGGATGGATGGATGGATGGATAAATTTGGAAATATCAGTTGCTTTGGGTGGTGAGGCACTGGAATGGGTTGCCCAGGGAGGTTATGAATGCTCCATCCCTGGCGGTGTTCAAGACAAGTTTGGACGAGGCCTTGGGTGGTATGATTTACCGTGAGGTGTACCTGCCAATGGCAGGGAAGTTGGAACTAGATGATCTTAAGGTCCTTTGCAACCCTAATTATGCTATGATTCTGTGATTCTATGAATACGGAATGCCTGGAGAGCATTAACTCAATGAGGAGCACTGAGGTTGCATTCATGAAAAGATCCACAAATAGATGAGAGGTCAGACGATAGATGATTGAGTGATCCTGTACTGGGCTCTTGATAGGATTCTACAGATGCAGGGATGGATTGAAAGATGGAAAGGACGATGAATGATGTATGGATGAGGCATGCATGAGTGGATGGATGGATGGATGGATGGATGGATGGATGGATGGATGGATGGTTGATGGGTGAGTGGATCCTTGATAGACGGATTGGTGGACGGATGTACGAATGGGTGGATGGATTATTCAATGGATAGAAGAAAGCATTTATTAGTAGAAGGCTGAGTAGAGAGTAACGATGTTTGTTGAATGAGTGGAGGGCTGGAAGGCAGCGGAATGCATGGAGTGTTGAATGGATGAACGGATACAACACTGAATGCTTGCACTGATGCATGGTTGAGAGAATCTGAGAGTCTCAAAGGCAGGTTTCACTTTGCTGAATCAGTGATTGGTTGAACGTACAGAAGGCGGGTGGTGGAGTTTGTGCCTGATCATGTGGTGAGGGTTTGAAATGTCTCTAGAGCAGCACGGCTTCCTGTGAGACGGTTGGATAGGACGGATGAATGGATGTATTTGGATTTGTGAGCAGAAGAATGGAGAGATGGAGCCATGGAATCCAGAATGTCTGGAGTGCTGAGTCCCAGTATTAAGAGTTGCACGGATGAATGTGTGCATCAATGAATAACTGATCGGATGGTGGATGTTTGAGTTTGTCACAGATCCTGTATTGGGTGCTTGATGGGACTTCAGAGATGCATGGGTGGAAGGAAAGGTGGAAAGGAGGATGATGGATGGAGGTATTGACGAATGAATGTGTGATGGGTGGATGGATGGATGGATGGATGGATGGACGGATGGATGGACGGATGGAAGGATGGATGGGTGAAGGGACTGACAGAGGGATGGATGTTGGGTGGATGGATGGATGGATGGAAGGATGGATGGATGGATGGATGGATGGATGGATGGACGGATGGATGGACGGATGGAAGGATGATGGATGGGTGAAGGGACTGACAGAGGGATGGATGTTGGGTGGATGGATGGGTGGATGGATGGATGGATGGATGGATGATGAGACAAAGAGACAGGGGGATGGGTGGCTAGCTTGCTGAATGAATGGATCAAAAGATGAACGGAATGACGGATGGAGAGATGGATGGATGGATGGTTGAATGAATAGGCAGGGGGATGGATGGATGGATGGATGGATGGATGGATGGATGGATGGATGATGTGTGGAGGGATGTATGGATGGATGCAAGAATGGCTGGATGCGTGGGTGGATGGATGGATGGATGGATGGATGGATGGATGAGTGGGTGGATGGATGGATGGATGGATGAGTGGGTGGATGGGAGGATGGATGGGTGCTGGGATGAATGGATGGATGGATTTACGGATTAATGGTTCAATGGATGCCTGATGAATGGGTGGATGGATGGATGGATGGATGGATGGATGGATGGATGGATGGATGGGTGAATGGACGGATGGATGAATGGATGCATGGATGGATGGATGAATGGATGGATGGATGAATGGATGCATGGACGGATGTACGAAACAATTTATGAGTAGAAGGATGAGTATACAAAAACAATGTGTGTTGAATTCCTGGAGAGCTGGGTGCTTATGGAAAGCATGGAGGGCTGAATGGATGAAAGGATACAGCAATGGATGGTTGGAGTTACAGATCGACCCTGAAAGTCTTCAAGGCCAGGTCTGATGGTGCTGAATCAGCAAAGGAATGTGCTAAAGGTGGATGATGGGGTTGTTTGTCATCATTGGTTGAGTGTTTGGCAGGTCTTTAGAGCAGCATGGCTGCCGGTGGGACGGATGGACGCATGGATGGATGAAGGAGTGGGTGGATGGAAGCATGCATGGGTGCGTCGATGGATGGAGGGAGGGAGGCATGGATGAATGGGTGAGTGGGTGGATGGATGGGTGCATGGAAGATGATTGGATAGGTGGAAGGAGGGAGGGAGGGAGGGAGGGATGCATGCGTGGGTGGATGGATGGGTGCATGGAAGGATGCATGGAAGGACGGATGGATGGATGGATGAGTGGATAGGTGGAAGGATGGATGGATGGATGGATGAATGGATGGATGCATGGAAGGATGCATGGAAGGATGGATGGATGGATGGGTGAGTGGATAGGTGGAAGGATGGATGGATGGATGGATGGATGGATGGATGGATGGATGGATGGATGGATGGATGAATGTGTGAGAGGATAAAAGGGTTAAAGGATGGATGAATGGATGGAAGGTCAAATGGATGAATGGATGAGTGGGTGGGTGGATTTATGGATGGATGGATGGATGGATGGATGGATGGATGGATGGATGGATGGATGGATGAATGGATGAGTGGGTGGGTGGATTTATGGATGGATGGATGGATGGATGGATGGATGGATGGATGGATGGATGGATGGATGGATGAATGGATGGATGGATGGATGGATGGATGGATGGATGAGTGGATAGCTGGAAGGATTGATGGATGGATGGATGGATGGATGGATGGATGGATGGATGGAGAGTGTGTGGATGGAAGGACAGATGGAAGACTGCATGGATGGATGGATCAATGCATGGAAGGATGGATAATTTTGGAATTATGAGTAGATGAATGGATAGAGAGATCCATTGACTATGGAATCCCTGGTGAGCTTTATCTCAGTGAGAGGCATTGAAGGTTGCATTCAAGAATAGATCCATCAATAATGAGTGGTCAGACAATAGATGATTGATTAAATTGCTGAACCTGTATTGGGCGCTTGATAGGGCTCTATAGATGCAGGGATGGAATGAAAGATGGAAAGAATAATGAATGATGTATGAATAAAGCGTGCATATGTGGATGGATGGATGGATGGATGGATGGATGGATGGATGGATGGATGGATGAACAGATGGATGGATGAAAGGAGAGATAGATTCACATACAGATGCTCATGGCCTTCATTTTGGCCTCTCCACTGCAGCCCGAGCTCCACAGGAGGAGGAATCCCAGCCAGTGCTGGGCGAGCTCAGGGTGTCCGAGGTCACCTCTGACTCGGTGCAGCTGGAGTGGAGCGTCCCCGAGGGCACCTTTGACTCCTTCACGCTGCAGTACCGCGATGCACAAGGCCAGCCCCAGGTGCTGCCCGTGGACGGGGGTTCCCGCACGCTGACGCTGCCGGGGCTGTCCCCGTCCCGCCGCTACAAGTTCAACCTGTACGGGCTGTGGGGTCGCACACGCCTGGGCCCCGTCTCCACCGACACTGTCACAGGTGAGGGGGCTCTGGCACCAGCCCCGCTGAACCGCCTCTTGTAGTGGACAGAAGCTTGGGCAGGGCCCGTGCTCGTGCCTTGGTCAGTGGAGGAAAGGGGGTGGGAGGGGATTTGGGGTCAATGGAAGGATGAGGGAGTGACAGGCTGGAAGGGTGGAGGGGTTGTTGAGGATGGGTGGATGGATTCATGAATAGATTGATAGATTCATGAATGGATAGATGGAGAGATTGACAGATGGCTGGATATGGGAGGGATGGATGGATGGATGGAGGAGTGGATGGATGAGTGCGTGGATGGATGGATGCATGGATGCATGGCTGAGTGGGGGGATAGATGGATGGAGGCATGAATGTATGGATGAGTGGGTGGATGAAAGGATGGAAGGATGCATGGATGGATGAATGTATGAATGATTGGGTGGATGAATGGGTGGATGGATGGATGGATGGATGGATGGATGGATGGATGGATGGATGGATGGTTCGATGGGTGGACGGATAGATGGATGGGTGGATAGTTGGGTGTATAGTTGATTGATTGATGGTTGGATGCATGGATGGATGGATAGAGTTATGGGGGTAGTTAAATTTTGGCTTTGGTTCACAGTCTCAAGTGACTGTTTTGATCGCTCGATGATTCATTGGAGGGATGGGTTAAAGAACCAGTACAGAGAAGAGTGCAGTGAAAGACAGAATAGTGAATAGGTCCGTGAATGGAGGGATGGATGATGGGTGGATGGATGGATGACTAGAAGAAAGGATTTATCAGTAGAAGGCTGAGTAGAGAGTAACGACGCTTGTTGAATGAGTGGAGGGCTGGATGGCTGCGGAATGCATGGTGTGTTGAATGGATGAAGGGATACAACACTGAATGCTTGCACTGATGCATGGTTGAGGGAATCTGAGAGTCTCAAAGGCAGGTTTCACTTTGCTGAATCAGTGATTGGTTGAACGTACAGAAGGCGGGTGGTGGAGTTTGTGCCTGATCATGTGGTGAGGGTTTGAAATGTCTCTAGAGCAGCACGGCTTCCTGTGAGAGGGTTGGGTAGGACGGATGAATGGATGTATTTGGATTTGTGAGTAGGAGAATGGAGAGATGGAGCCATGGAATCCAGAATGTCTGGAGTGCTGAGTCCCAGTATTAAGAGTTGCATGGATGAATGTGTGCATCAATGAATAACTGATCGGATGGTGGATGTTTGAGTTTGTCACAGATCCTGTATGGGGTGCTTGGTAGGATTTTACAGATGCACGGGTGGAAGGAAAGGTGGAAAAGAGGATGATGAATGAATGTATTGATGACTGAATGGGTGATGGGTGGGTGGGTGGATGGATGGATGGACGGACGGACGGACGGATGGATGGATGGATGGATGTAAAGATGAATGGATGGATGGATGCATGGATGGATGGATGGAAAGAAGGATGTAAAGATGAATGGATGGATGGATGGATGGATGGATGGATGGATGGATGGATGGATGGATGGATGGATTTATGAGTAGAAAGATGAGTATACATAAACAATGTGTGTTGAATTCCTGGAGAGCTGGATGCTGATGGAAAGCATGGAGGGCTGAATGGATGAAAGAATACAGCAATGGATGGCTGCAGTTATGGATGGTTGATTGACCCTGAACGTCTTCAAGGCCAGGTCTGACTGTGCTGAATCAACAAATGAATGTACTAAAGGTGGATAATGGTGTTCTTCGTCATCATGTGTTGAGTGTTTGACAGGTCTTTAGAGCAGCATGGCTGCCTGTGGGATGGATAGATGGATGGACAGATGGATGGAGGAATGGATGGATGGATGGATGGATGCATGGATGGATGGATGGATCGGGGGATAGATGGGCGAATGGATGGATGGCGGGAGGGAGGGAGGGAGGGATGGATGGATGAGTGCGTGGGTGGATGAATGGATGGATGCATATAATAATGGGTGAGGAAGTTTGACTGATCAGCCTGGAGAAGAGAAGGCGGCGTGGTGACCTCATAGCAGCTTCCAGTATCTGAAGGGGTCCTATAGGGATGCTGTAGAGGGACTGTTCAGTAGAGACTGTAGTGATAGGACAAAGGGGTAACGGGTTAAAACTGAAACAGGGGAAGTTTAGGTTGGGTATAAGGAGTAAGTCCTTTCCTGTGAGGGTGGTGAGGCACTGGAATGGGTTGATCAGGGAGGTTGTGAATGCTCCATCCCTGGCAGTGTTCAAGGCCAGGTTGGACGAGGCCTTGGGTACCATGGTTTAGTGTGAGGTGTCCCTGCTCATGGCAGGGGGGTTGGAACTGGATGATCTTAAGGTCCTTTCCAACCCTAACGATTCTATGATTCTGTGATTCTAAGAATGCATGGATGGATGGATGGATGGAGGTATGAGTGGATAGGTTAAAGGATACATGGATGGATGGATGGATGGATGGACGGATGGAAGGATGGATGGATGGATGCATGAATGGATGGATGAAAGGATGAGTGGGTGGATGGTTAAGGAACCAGTACAGAGAAGAGTGCAGTGAAAGACAGAATAGTGAATAGGTCCGTGGATGGAAGGATGGATGATGGGTGTGTGGATCATGGATGGATGGATGGATGGGTGGACAGATGGATTGATGGATGCATGCATGCATGCATGGATGGATGTGGGATAGATGGGCGGATGGATGGATGGCCGGAGGGAGGGAGGGATGGATGGATGAGTGCGTGGATGGATGAACGGATGGATGCATGGAAGGATGGGTGAGGAAGTTTGACTTTTCAGCCTGGAGAAGAGAAGGCTGAGTGGAAAACTCAGAGCAGCTTCCAGTACCTGAAGGGGGCCTATAGGGATGCTGGGGAGGGACTCTTCATTAGGGACTGTAGTGATAGGACAAGGGGTAACGGGTTAAAAGTGAAACAGGGGAAGTTTAGGTTGGGTATAAGGAGTAAGTCCTTTCCTGTGAGGGTGGTGAGGCACTGGAATGGGTTGCCCAGGGAGGTTGTGAATGCTCCATCCCTGGCAGTGTTCAAGGCCAGGTTGGACGAGGCCTTCGGTGCCATGGCTTACTGTGAGGTGGCTCAGCCCGTGGCAGGGAGGGTTGGAACTGGATGATCTCAAGGTCCTTTCCAACCCTAACGATTCTATGATTCTATGATTCTAAGAATGCATGGATGGATGGATGGATGGAGGGATGAGTGGATAGGTTAAAGGATGGATGGATGGATGGATGGATGGATGGATGGATGGATGGATGGATGGATGGAAGCATGAATGGATGGATGAAGGGATGAGTGGGTGGATGGAAGGATGGATGGATGGATGGATGGATGGATGGATGGATGGATGGATGGATGGATGGAAGCATGAATGGATGGATGAAGGGATGAGTGGGTGGATGGAAGGATGGATGGATGGATGGATGGATGGATGGATGGATGGATGGATGGATGGAAGTATTGAAGGATGGATGACTGGATGGATAGAGAGATGGATGGATGGATGAATGGATGACTGGGTGGATGGATGGATGGATGGATGGATGGATGAACAGATGGATGGATGAATGGAGAAATAGATTCACATACAGATACTCATGGCCTTCACTTTGGTCTCTCCACGGCAGCCCCAGCTCCACAGGAGGAGGAATCCCAGCCAGTGCTGGGTGAGCTCAGGGTGTCCGAGGTCACCTCTGACTCGGTGCAGCTGGAGTGGAGCGTCCCCGAGGGCACCTTTGACTCCTTCACGCTGCAGTACCGCGATGCACAAGGCCAGCCCCAGGTGCTGCCCGTGGACGGGGGTTCCCGCACGCTGACGCTGCCGGGGCTGTCCCCGTCCCGCCGCTACAAGTTCAACCTGTACGGGCTGTGGGGTCGCACACGCCTGGGCCCCGTCTCCACCGACACTGTCACAGGTGAGGGGGCTCTGGCACCAGCCCCGCTGAACCGCCTCTTGTAGTGGACAGAAGCTTGGGCAGGGCCCGTGCTCGTGCCTTGGTCAGTGGAGGAAAGGGGGTGGGAGGGGATTTGGGATCAATGGAAGGATGGGGGTGTGACAGGTTGGCAGAGTGGAGGGGTTGTTGAATGCATGGATGGGGGGATGGAGGGAGGGATGAATGGATGGATGGATTTCCAGATGAATGGTTACATTGATGGCTGGTAAATGGATGGATGGATTGAAGGATGGATGAATGGATGGATGGATGAGTGGGTGGATACATGAATGAGTGGGGTTATTGATGGATGGGTGGATTGATGGATGGATGGATGGATGGATGGATGGATGGATGGATGGATGGATGGATGGATGGATGGATGGATGTGTGGGTGGATGGATGGATGGATGGATGGATGGATGGATGGATGGATGGATGGGTGGATGGATGGATGGATGAGTGCATGGATGGGTGGATGGGAGGATGGGAGGATGGATGGGTGGAGCCATGAATGGATGGATGGATTTACAGATGAATAGTTATATGGATGGCTGATAAATGTATGGATGGATGGATTGAAGGGTGGAAGGATTGACTGACGAGTGGGTGGATGGATGGATGGACGGATAAGTGTGTGGACGGAAGGATGGATGGATGGATGGATGGATGGATGAATGGATGGATGGATGGATGGATGGATGGATGGATGGATGGATGGATGGATGGAAGAATGGACGGATGCATGGATGAGCTGGTGGATGGATGGATGGATGGATGGATGGATGGATGGATGGATGGATGGATGGATGATGGATGATGGATGGATGGATGAATGGAAGGATGATGGATGGATGGATGAATGGATTGGTGGATGGATGGATGGATGGATGGATGGATGGATGAATGGATGGATGGATGGATGGATGGATGGATGGATGAGTGGGTGGATGGATGCATGGATGGAGGGATGGAGGGATGGACAGATGTAAGAAATAATTTCTGAGTAGAAGGATGAGTATACATAAACAATGTGTGTTGAATTCCTGGAGAGCTGGATGCTGATGGAAAGCATGGAGGGCTGAATGGATGAAAGGATACAGCAATGGATGGTTGGAGTTATGGATGGTTGATCGACCCTGAACATCTTCAAGGCCAGGTGTGACAGTGCTGAATCAGCAAATGAATGTACTAAAGGTGGATGATGGGGTTGTTTGTCATCATGGGTTGAATGTTCGAGAGGTCTTTAGAGCAGCATGGCTGCCTGTGGGATGGATGGATGGATGGATGGATGGATGGATGGATGGATGGATGGATGGATAAATTTGGAAATATCAGTTGCTTAGGGTGGTGAGGCACTGGAATGGGTTGCCCAGGGAGGTTATGAATGCTCCATCCCTGGCGGTGTTCAAGACAAGTTTGGACGAGGCCTTGGGTGGTATGATTTACCGTGATTTACCAATGGCAGGGGCGTTGGAACTAGATGATCTCAAGGTCCTTTCCAACCCTAACTATGCTATGATTCTATGATTCTATGAATACGGAATGCCTGGAGAGCTTTACCTCAATGAGGAGCACTGAGGTTGCATTCATGAAAAGATCCACAAATAGATGAGAGGTCAGACGATAGATGATTGAGTGATCCTGTACTGGGCTCTTGATAGGATTCTATAGATGCAGGGATGGATTGAAAGATGGAAAGGACGATGAATGATGTATGGATGAGGCATGCATGTGTGGATGGATGGATGGATGGATGGATGGATGGATGGATGGATGGATTGAAACATAGATGGATGGATGAGTGGGTGGATGGATGGATGCATCGATGGGTGGATGGATGGATGGAAAGGTGGATGGTAAGGTGGATGGAAAGATGGATGGATAGATGGATGCATGGATGGATGTATGAAAGGATTTATGACTAGAAGGATGAGTATACATAAACAATGTATGTTGAATTCCTGGAGAGCTGGATGCTGATGGAAAGCATGGAGGGCTGAATGGATGAAAGAATACAGCAATGGATGGCTGCAGTTATGGATGGTTGATTGACCCTGAACGTCTTCAAGGCCACATCTGACTGTGCTGAATCAGCAAATGAATGTACTAAACATGGATGATGGTGTTCTTCATTATCAGGTGTTGAGTCTTTGAGAGGTATTTAGAGCAGCATGGCTTCCCATGGAATGGATGGATGGATGGATGGATGGATGGATGGATGGATGGATGGATGGATGGTTAAAATTAGAATTATTAGTGGATGAATGGGTGGAATGATCCATGGAATATGGAATGCCTGGAGAGCTTTACCTCAATGAGGAGCATTACGGGTTGCATTGATGAATAGATCCATCAATAGATGAGTGGCCAGACAATAGATGATTGAGCACGTCAGTGATCCTGTACTGGGCTCTTGATAGGACTCTATCGATGCAGGGATGGAATGATAGATGGAAAGGACGATGAATGATGTATGGATGAGGCATGCATGTGTGGATGGATGGATGAATGAATGAACAGATGGATCGATGGATGGATGACTGGAGAGATAGATTCACATACAGATGCTCATGGCCTTCACTGTGGCCTCTCCATTGCAGCCGCAGCTCCACAGGAGGAGGAACCAGCATCGCAGCCAGTGCTGGGTGAGCTCAGGGTGTCCGAGGTCACCTCTGACTCGGTGCAGCTGGAGTGGAGCGTCCCCGAGGGCACCTTTGACTCCTTCACGCTGCAGTACCGCGATGCACAAGGCCAGCCCCAGGTGCTGCCCGTGGACGGGGGTTCCCGCACGCTGACGCTGCCGGGGCTGTCCCCGTCCCGCCGCTACAAGTTCAACCTGTACGGGCTGTGGGGTCGCACACGCCTGGGCCCCGTCTCCACCGACACTGTCACAGGTGAGGGGGCTCTGGCACCAGCCCCGCTGAACCGCCTCTTGTAGTGGACAGAAGCTTGGGCAGGGCCCGTGCTCGTGCCTTGGTCAGTGGAGGAAAGGGGGTGGGAGGGGATTTGGGATCAAAGGAAGAATTGGGGCGTGACAGGTTGGAAGGATGGAGGGGTTGTTGAGGATGGATGGTTCGATGGGTGGATGGATAGATGGATGGTTGGATAGTTGATTGATTGATGGCTGGATGCATGGATGGATGGATAGAGTTATGGGGGTAGTTAAATTTTGGCTTTGGTTCACAGTCTCAAGCGACTGTTTTGATCACTCGATGATTCATTGGAGGGATGGGTTAAAGAACCAGTACAGAGAAGAGTGCAGTGAAAGACAGAATAGTGAATAGGTCCGTGAATGGAAGGATGGATGATGGGTGGATGGATGGATGGATGGACGGACGGATGGATGGATGGATGGATGGATGGATGGATGGATGGATGGATGGATGGATGACTAGAAGAAAGGATTTATCAGTAGAAGGCTGAGTAGAGAGTAACGATGTTTGTTGAATGAGTGGAGGGCTGGAAGGCAGCGGAATGCATGGAGTGTTGAATGGATGAAGGGATACAACACTGAATGCTTGCACTGATGCATGGTTGAGAGAATCTGAGAGTCTCAAAGGCAGGTTTCACTTTGCTGAATCGGAAGCGTGGGCAGGGCCCGTGCTCGTGCCTTGGTCAATGGAGGAAAGGGGGTGGGAGGGGATTTGGGATCAATGGAAGGATGCGGGTGTGACAGGTTGGAAGGATGGAGGGGTTGTTCAGGGTGGATGGTTGGATGGGTGGATGGATAAGTGGACGGATGGATGGATGGATGGAAGGATGGATGGATGGATGGAGGATGGATGGATGGATGGATGATGAATGGGTGGATGGATCGATGGATGGATAGTGTTTGAAATGTCTCTAGAGCAGCACGGCTTCCTGTGAGAGGGTTAGATAGGACGGATGAATGGATGTATTTAGATTTATGAGTAGAAGAATGGAGAGATGGAGCCATGGAATCCAGAATGTCTGGAGTGCTGAGTCCCAGTATTAAGAGTTGCATGGATGAATGTGTGCATCAATGAATAACTGATCAGATGGTGGATGTCTGAGTTTGTCACAGATCCTGTATTGGGTGCTTGGTAGGACTTTACAGATGCGTGGGTGGAAGGAAAGGTGGAAAGGAGGATGATGGATGGAGGTATTGATGAATGAATGGACGACGGCTGGATGGATGGATGGGTGAATGGACTGATGGAGGGACGGATGGAAGATGGATGGAAGGATGGATGGATGAATAGACAGGGGGATGGATGGATGGATGGATGGATGGATGGATGGATGGATGGATGGATGGATGGATGGATGTTGGGGTCAACGGGGGGATGAATGGATAGACACAAGAATGGATGGATGAGTGAGTAGATGAAAGAATGGAAGAATGGATGGATGCATGGATGTTTCGGGGGATGGATAAATGGATGGATGGATGGATGGAAGAATGGAAGAATGGATGGATGCATGGATGTTTGGGAGAATGAATGTATAGAAGGATGGATGGATGGATGGATGGATGGATTTACAGATGAGTTGTTACATGGATGGCTGGTGAACGAAAGGATGGATTGAAGGATGGTTGGATGGATGGATTAGTGGGTGGATGGAGGCATCGATGGATGGATCGATGGATGGATTGATAGGTGAATGGATGAATGAGTGGGTGGATGGGAGGATGGATGGATGGAGGGATGAATGGATGTATGGAAGAGTGGGTGTATGGATGGATGAATGGATGGATGCATGGATGAATGGCTGGAATGATGGATGGATGGATGGATGGATGGATGGATGGATGGATGGATGGATTTATGAGTAAAAGCATGAGTATACATAAACAGTGTGTAACGAATTCCTATAGAGCTGGATGCTTATGGAAAGCATGGAGGGCTGAATGGATGAAAGGATACAGCAATGGATGGTTGGAGTTATGGATGGTTGAGGGACCCTGAAAGTCTTCAAGGGCAGCGGTGACAATGCTGAATCAGTAAATGAATGTACTGAAGGTGGATGATGGGGTTGTTCGTCATCATGGGTTGAGTGTTTGACAGGTCTTTAGAGCAGCATGGCTGCCTATGGGATGGATGGATGGATGGATTCATGGATTCATGGATGGATAAATTTGGAAATATGAGTTGGTTAAGGTGGTGAGGCACTGGAATGGGTTGCCCAGGGAGGTTGTGAATGCTCCATCCCTGGCAGTGTTCAAGACAAGTTTGAACGAGGCCATGGGTGGTATGATTTACCGTGAGGTGTACCTGCCAATGGCAGGGAAGTTGGAACTAGATGATCTTAAGGTGTTTTGCAACCCTAATTATGCTATGATTCTGTATTCTATGAATATGGAATGCCTGGAGAGCTTTACCTCAATGAGGAGCATTGAGGTTGCATTGATGAATGGATCCATCAATAGATGAGTGGCCAGACAATAGATGATTGAGTACGTCAGTGATCCTGTACTGGGCTCTTGATAGGATTCTATAGATGCAGGGATGGAATGAATGATGGAAGGGACGATGAATGAAGTATGGATGAGGCATGCATGCGTGGATGGATGGATGGATGGATGGATGGATGGATGGATGGATGATGGGTGAGTGGATCCTTGATAGATGGATGGGTGGATGGATGGATGAATGGGTGGATGGATTGTTCGATGGATAGAAGAAAGCATTTATCAGTAGAAGGCTGAGTAGAGAGTAACGATGTTTGTTGAATGAGTGGAGGGCTGGATGGCTGCGGAATGCATGGAGTGTTGAATGGATGAACGGATACAACACTGAATGCTTGCACTGATGCATGGTTGAGAGAATCTGAGAGTCTGCAAAGGCAGGTTTCACTTTGCTGAATCAGTGATTGGTTGAACGTGGTGGAGTTTGTGCCTGATCATGTGGTGAGGGTTTGAAATGTCTCTAGAGCAGCACGGCTTCCTGTGAGAGGGTTGGGTAGGACGGATGAATGGATGTATTTGGATTTGTGAGCAGAAGAATGGAGAGATGGAGCCATGGAATCCAGAATGTCTGGAGTGCTGAGTCCCAGTATTAAGAGTTGCATGGATGAATGTGTGCATCAATGAATAACTGATCAGATGGTGGATGTTTGAGTTTGTCACAGATCCTGTATTGGGTGCTTGATGGGACTTCAGAGACTCATGGGTGGAAGGAAAGGTGGAAAGGAGGATGATTGATGGAGGTATTGATGAATGAATGGATGATGGATGGACAGACGGCTGGATGGATGGATGGATGGATGGATGGATGGATGGATGGATGGATGGACTGATGGAGGGATGGATTGTGGGTGGATGGATGGATGGATGGATGGATGGATGGAGAGACAGGGGGATGGGTGGCTGGCTTGAAGGATGAATGGTTTAAAAGATGAATGGAAAGATGGACAGAAAGAGGGACGGATGGATGGATGGATGGATGGATGGATGGATGGATGGATGGACGGATGAGTGGGTGGATGGGAGGATGGATGGGTGGTGGGATGAATGGATGGGTGGATTTACAGATGAATGCTTCTATGGATGGCTGATGAATGGATGGATGGATGGGTGGATGGATGGATGGAAGGATGGATGGGTGGATGACAGAATGGATGGATGCATAAATGGACAGATGGATGGATGGATGAAAGAATGGATGGATGGATAAATGGACAGATGGATGGATGAGTGGTTGGATGGAAGGCTGCATGGATGAATGCATGGATGGATGGATGGAAAGATGGATGGATGGATGCATGGAGGGATGCAAGAAACGGAAGGATGAGTATACATAAAGAATGTGTGTTGAATTCTTGGAGAGCTGGATGCTGATGGAAAGCATGGAGGGCTGGATGGATGAAAGAATACAGCAATGGATGGCTGGAGTTATGGATGGTTGATGGACCTTGAAAGTCTTCAAGGCCAGGTCTGATGGTGCTGAATCAGCAAAGGAATGTGTTAAAGTTGGATGATGGGGTTGTTTGTCATCATGGGTTGAGTGTTTGGCAGGTCTTTAGAGCAGCATGGCTGCCTGTGGGATGGATGGATGGAAGGATGGAGGAGTGGGTGGATGGAAGGATGCATGGGTGGATCGATGGATGGTGGGAGGGAGGGATGGATGAATGGATGAGTGGATAGGTGGAAGGATGGATGGATGGATGGATGGATGGATGGATGGATGGATGGATGGATGGATGGATGGATGGATGGATGGACAGATGAGTGGATAGGTGGAAGGATTGATGGATGGATGGATGGATGGATGGATGGATGGATGGATGGATGGAGAGTGTGTGGATGGAAGGACAGATGGAAGACTGCATGGATGGATGGATCAATGCATGGAAGGATGGATAATTTTGGAATTATGAGAAGATGAATGGATAGAGTGATCCATTGAATATGGAATGCCTGGTGAGCTTTATCTCAGTGAGAGGCATTGAAGGTTGCATTCAAGAATAGATCCATCAATAGATGAGTAGTCAGACGACAGATGATTGATTAAATTGCTGATCCTGTATTGGGCGCTTGATAGGGCTCTATAGATGCAGGGATGGAATGAAAGAGGGAAAGAATAATGAATGATGTATGAATGAGGCATGCATGTGTGGATGGATGGATGAACAGATGGATGGATGAACAGGTGGATGGATGAACGGATGGACGAATGGAGATATAGATTCACATACAGATGCTCATGGCCTTCATTTTGGCCTCCCCACTGCAGCTCCAGCTCCACAGGAGGAGGAATCGCAGCCAGTGCTGGGCGAGCTCAGGGTGTCCGAGGTCACCTCTGACTCGGTGCAGCTGGAGTGGAGCGTCCCCGAGGGCACCTTTGACTCCTTCACGCTGCAGTACCGCGATGCACAAGGCCAGCCCCAGGTGCTGCCCGTGGACGGGGGTTCCCGCACGCTGACGCTGCCGGGGCTGTCCCCGTCCCGCCGCTACAAGTTCAACCTGTACGGGCTGTGGGGTCGCACACGCCTGGGCCCCGTCTCCACCGACACTGTCACAGGTGAGGGGGCTCTGGCACCAGCCCCGCTGAACCGCCTCTTGTAGTGGACAGAAGCTTGGGCAGGGCCCGTGCTCGTGCCTTGGTCAGTGGAGGAAAGGGGGTGGGAGGGGATTTGGGATCAGTGGAAGAATGGGGGTGTGACAGGTTGGCAGGGTGGAGGGGTTGCTGAATGCATGGATTGATGGGTGGTTGGGTGGATGGAGGGGTGAACGGATGGATGGATTTCCAGATGAATGGTTACATGGATGCGTGATGAATGGATGGATGGATTGAAGGATGGATGCATGGATGGATGAGTGGGTGGATGGATGGATGGATGGATGGATGGATGGATGGATGGATGGAGGCATGGATTGATGTATGTGTGCATGGATGGATGAATGAGAGAGTGGATGAAGGGATGGAAGGATAGATGGATGGATGGATTCATGAATGGATGAATGAGTTGCTGGATGAAAGGATGGAAGGATGCAAGGATGGATGAATGGATGAATGATAGGGTGGGAGAATGGATGGATGGATGGATGGATGGATGGATGGATGGATGGATGGATGGAGGCATGGGTGGATGGATGGATGGATGGATGGATGGATGGATGGATGGATGGATGAATGGATGGATGGATGAATGGATGGAGGCATGGATGGATGGATGGGTGGATGGAAGGATGAATGGATGAGTGGCTGGATGGTTGAGTGGGTGGATGGGTGTATGGATAGATGAGTGGTTGGATTGATAGATGGATGGATGGATGTGTGGATGGATGGATGGATGGATGGATGGATGGATGGATGGATGGATGGAAGAAACGATTTATGAGTAGAAGGATGAGTATACATAAACAACGTGTGTTGAATTCCTGGAGAGCTGGCTGCTGAAGGAAAGCATGGAGGGCTGAATGGATGAAAGAATACAGCAATGGATGGTTGGAGTTATGGATGGTTGATCGACCCTGAAAGTCTTCAAGGGCAGCTGTGACAATGCTGAATCAGCAAATGAATGTACTGAAGGTGGATGATGGGGTTGTTTGTCATCATGTGTTGAGTGTTTGACAGGTATTTAGAGCAGCATGGCTGCCTATGGGATGGATGGATGGATGGATGGATTCATGGATTCATGGATGGATAAATTTGGAAATATGAGTTGGTTAAGGTGGTGAGGCACTGGAATGGGTTGCCCAGGGAGGTTGTGAATGCTCCATCCCTGGCGGTGTTCAAGAAAAGTTTGTATGAGGCCTTGGGTGGTATGATTTACCGTGAGGTGTACCTGCCAATGGCAGGGGAGTTGGAACTAGATGATCTTAAGGTCCTTTCCAACCCTAATTATGCTATGATTCTATGATTCTATGAATATGAAATGCCTGGAGAGCTTTACCTCAATGAGGAGCATTGAGGGTTGCATTGATGAATAGATCCATCAGTAGATGAGTGGTCAGACAATAGATGATTGAGTACGTCAGTGATCCTGTACTGGGCTCATGATAGGACTCTATCGATGCAGGGATGGAATGAAAGATGGAAAAGACGATGAATGATGCATGGATGAGGCATGCATGTGTGGATGGATGGATGAATGGATGAACGGATGGATGGATGGATGACTGGAGAGATAGATTCACATTCAGATGCTCATGGCCTTCACTGGCCACTCCACTGCAGCTCCAGCTCCACAGGAGGAGGAACCAGCATCGCAGCCAGTGCTGGGTGAGCTCAGGGTTTCCAACGTCACCTCTGACTCGGTGCAGCTGGAGTGGAGCGTCCCCGAGGGCACCTTTGACTCCTTCACGCTGCAGTACCGCGATGCACAAGGCCAGCCCCAGGTGCTGCCCGTGGACGGGGGTTCCCGCACGCTGACGCTGCCGGGGCTGTCCCCGTCCCGCCGCTACAAGTTCAACCTGTACGGGCTGTGGGGTCGCACACGCCTGGGCCCCGTCTCCACCGACACTGTCACAGGTGAGGGGGCTCTGGCACCAGCCCCGCTGAACCGCCTCTTGTAGTGGACAGAAGCTTGGGCAGGGCCCGTGCTCGTGCCTTGGTCAGTGGAGGAAAGGGGGTGGGAGGGGATTTGGGATCAATGGAAGAATGGGGGCGTGACAGGTTGGAAGGATGGAGGTGTTGCTGAATGCATGGATGGGCGGATGGAGGGAGGGATGAATGGATGGATGGATTTCCAGATGAATGGTTACATTGATGGCTGGTAAATGGATGGATGGATTGAAGGATGGATGAATGGATGGATGGATGAGTGTGTGGATACATGAATGAGTGGGGTTATTGATGGATGGGTGGATTGATGGATGGATGGATGGATGGATGGATGGATGGATGGATGGATGGATGGATGGATGGATGGATGAGTGTGTGGATAAATGAATGAGTGGGGTTATTGATGGATGGATGGATGGATGGATGGATGGATGGATGGATGGATGGATGGATGGATGGATGAATGAATGGATGGATGGATGGATGAAAGGATGGTAGGATGAATGGATGGATGGATTTACAGATGAATGGTTAAATGGTTGGCTAATGAATGGATGGATAGATTGAAGGATAGATGAATGGATGGATGAGTGGGTGGATGGAAGAACGGATGGATGGATGGATGGATGGATGGATGGGTGGATGGATGGATGAATGAGTGCATGGATGGGTGGATGGGAGGATGGGAGGATGGATGGGTGGAGCCATGAATGGATGGATGGATTTACAGATGAATAGTTATATGGATGGCTGATGAATGTATGGATGGATGGATTGAAGGGTGGAAGGATTGACTGACGAGTGGGTGGATGGATGGATGGACCGATAAGTGTGTGGACGGAAGGATGGATGGATGGATGGATGGATGGATGGATGGATGGATGGATGGAAGAATGGACGGATGCATGGATGAGCTGGTGGATGGATGGATGGATGGATGGATGGATGGATGGATGGATGGATGGATGAGTGGGTGGATGGATGCATGAATGGAGGGATGGAGGGATGGACAGATGCAAGAAATAATTTCTGAGTAGAAGGATGAGTATACATAAACAATGTGTGTTGAATTCCTGGAGAGCTGGATGCTGATGGAAAGCATGGAGGGCTGAAAGGATGAAAGGATACAGCAATGGATGGTTGGAGTTATGGATGGTTGATCGACCCTGAAAGTTTTCAAGGCCAGGTGTGTCAGTGCTGAATCAGCAAATGAATGTACTAAAGGTGGATGATGGGGTTGTTTGTCATCATGGGTTGAATGTTCGAGAGGTCTTTAGAGCAGCATGGCTGCCTGTGGGATGCATGGATGGATGGATGGATGGATGGATAAATTTGGAAATATGAGTTGCTTAGGGTGGTGAGGCACTGGAATGGGTTGCCCAGGGAGGTTATGAATGCTCCATCCCTGGCGGTGTTCAAGACAAGTTTGGACGAGGCCTTGGGTGGTATGATTTACCGTGATTTACCAATGGCAGGGGCGTTGGAACTAGATGATCTCAAGGTCCTTTCCAACCCTAACTATGCTATGATTCTATGATTCTATGAATACGGAATGCCTGGAGAGCATTAACTCAATGAGGAGCACTGAGGTTGCATTCATGAAAAGATCCACAAATAGATGAGAGGTCAGACGATAGATGATTGAGTGATCCTGTACTGGGCTCTTGATAGGATTCTATAGATGCAGGGATGGATTGAAAGATGGAAAGGACAATGAATGATGTATGGATGAGGCATGCATGTGTGGATGGATGGATGGATGGATGGATGGATGGATGGATGGATGGATGATGGATGAACGGATACAACACTGAATGCTTGCACTGATGCATGGTTGAGAGAATCTGAGAGTCTGCAAAGGCAGGTTTCACTTTGCTGAATCAGTGATTGGTTGAACGTACAGAAGGTGGGTGGCGGAGTTTGTGCCTGATCATGTGGTGAGGGTTTGAAATGTCTCTAGAGCAGCACGGCTTCCTGTGAGAGGGTTGGATAGGATGGATAAATGGATG